TCTATATATTTACATTTTCGGCCAATTGCAGACTCCTTTTTCATGGGGCGGCAAAATCTTGACCCGTCCTGAGTGGCACTAACCAGAGCTACGCCACTGGAATTATGATCTTTAAATATTGCATTGTTTACCGTAAACCAATGATGATTAAGGCTATTAAAATGAAATATTTCCAAAAAATATATAATACTTCTCTATACTAATGAGTAGGCCTACAAAACACCTTTGTTGAGGCCTGTGTATTTTTTTAATATCCTTTCCCAACTTATTTACACATTGTATCACTTTTCATCATTGTTAATGATATTAAACAACCAGGTCCTTACAAGCTGTATAGTGTACATAATGTTAATGCTATACTGATTTATGTATAAAAATATTTAATTTGTAATCATTTTAAAAGTAAAACTTTCAATTCAAATTTTAATTATGTCCAACATGCGATGAACGTAAAAATTGTTTCATTTTTGGTTTTAGGCATTTTATTTTTTACAAAATCAGAAAAATAATTACAGTGCCTGATTAAAATTTAGAACTCTATTTGAAATTCAGAGCTATTTAGTCATACAGAAATATTTAACCTTAGCATTGTGTTTAGCCTAATAATAATAAGTAGTTAACTTTAAATATCTGAGAGAACTACTACAAACTAGCCTCATTCATATCTATTGGTGTAATTTATTGTAATATGTGTAAAGTGTAAACATTCAGCACAATAAAGCAGCTTGTAATAATTCATATGAAGATAATGTTGTTCTATTTTTAAAAATAATCAATGCATTTATCATAATTAGAGGGCCTACCATTACCGGAGACTGACCAAACATTGTCTAAGCCGTAGATAATTTCCTAGTAAAATCCACAACGTGACCCGACTGGTCTCCACCATTCTCAGGCGACGGTTAGTCTCTTGTTCGCCGAGTGTCCCGCGCTGTACTGGGTGAGTGTGGCTCAGTTGGGAAAGTTGGGGGATGTGTTAATTGCCAGGTTAATACAGAGCGATAAGTGCGGCCCCTAAGATTAAGAACGGGTACTAGAGGTAAAAAAAAATCGCCCAAATCAACTGTTCGTGACACTGAAAATACCACGACCTAATCAGAAAGTTGTGCACAGCTCTACCATCCCATGTATTCAAATAGATCGCGTGAGACACAGCTCCTCGAATTTGTAGAAGACCTGATGACCATTCTTCAGAACAGCAAGCAAACTGACGTACTGGTGATGGACTTCTCGAAGCCATTTGACCGTGTAAATCATAGTTTACTTTTACACGAACTTAAAAGATATGGGATCAAAGTCACTACCGTTCAAACTACAAACCACTCTAGTTTCCTCAGCAACCGATGCCAGGCAGTAGTGGTGGACGGTACAAGCTCCTCCTTTGTCGGTGTTAAGTCAGGGCTCCCCCAGGGCTCGGTGCTAGGCCCCTGTTTGTTCCTAGCATACATCAATGACCTACGGGTACCCGAGACACTGACATCCCACGCAAGACTGTTCGCAGATGATTAGGACGATTGCCACCTGTTCTTACCAGGACCAACTACAGCAGGATCTGAATCGGTTAGCTCAGTGGGAGATGTGCTGGGACATGGAATTTCATCCTGCTAAGGGCCAGACACCGTCAGTCTCCAGAAGTGGTACTCTTCTACACCAACATTACGAACTACATGGCCATATACTTGTGCAGTTTCCTCCGTAAGGTACCTCGGTGTTATCATTCAAAGAGAGGTCCGCTGGGACGAGCACATTAACAATGTGTGCAACCAAGCAAACAAGACCTTAGAGTTCTTAATGTGAAATTAAAAATAGGCAACTCCAGTTTGAAAGAAATAGCCTATAAAGTATAAAGCCTTTGTCCACCGCTTCAAGATTACGCAACTACAATCTGGGACCCATTCACCCAGAAGGCGGTCCAGCGACGGGTAGCACGCTTTGCCCTGAACCGCTACAGGAATACCTTCATGTGTTGGCAGCATGGTGGAGACACTAGGCTGGTCACCATTGGAGGAACGACATACCTCTAGTGTTGGAAGCATGGTGGAAACACTGGGCTGATCACCATTGGAGGAACGACGACGACAATCCAGGCTCTCCATGATGTACAAGATAAAAAATGGCCTGGTCCACTGCTCCAGCATTAAACAGAAACTCGCCCCTCTCCCCCCTAGACAGCGACGAGGCCGTGACAAACAATTCTGGCTCATAACAACAAGAACACAGTACAGGAACTGCTCATTCCTGCCAAAAACAATCAGGGACTGGAGCAAGCTTCCAAAAAGAACAGTTGAGGCGACAACACTTGACACATTTGCGTCTATTGCCTCAGGCCTTCCAATCCCCAGTTCATGATACCCTCACAAAGTGACACTTGCTATCAGTGAAATATCCTCTTCAATACCAGGCACAGAAACATTGCAAATCCCCTCTACATACATAGGAGCCAGAATGATCAATACATTGATCGTGGGCCCTTAATATATAGAAAGAAGACGAAGTGTCCTGATTCCATTTATTGGTGATTGTGGAACGGCTGAAGAAAGCCCTCTTTATCTATTAAATTTAAATGCTGTGACAGCTGCTGATCCTTCTAAATTGTTATGTGCTAATTCTACTTGGTTCTTCTGGAAATTTGTTTCCCCTGGACTGGTCATCTGACGATTGCCTCGGGAAGCAGGTTCGTGCAAACGGGTGGGCGGCAAAGGAGTGACGCTCTGGGCATCAGCTTAAAAGAGGCGTCAAATTCGTAATTTTTCATGCCAACCATGTGTATTGATAGATCATTTTGGATCTTTGTCCCACCACTCAGCACTTAAAATAGTAGCATTTTCTTTGTGTGCAATAGTTTTCATCACCTACCTCCAAGGATTATTTCAGAAATTTCCCACCCCCCGGGGGTGGGGGCGCTTCAGATTTTTCGGGGGGGGGGCAGTACCAGAAGTGCCAGTTTATTTATTGTTGGACATATTTTTGCTCCCGGGGGGGGG